CACGAGCTGATCCTGGGCTCGTTTATATTTCGAGCTCAAAAAATGTGTTCGTGTTCGGCTCGTTTGCTTGGCGAGCCTAACCCGAACTATTCAAGAACAAAGAGTTATTTTGACATCCCTAGTCATGCAACCGTCTGATGTTAAAGATTGAAGTAAGATTTAAATCTTATTTTTTATATTAAAATATCATTGAAATATAATTTAATATATTTTTATTTTATTTTCATTCTATTTTTTATATTAAAACATCAGAGAAATGCATAGCACATACTTCATCGAAACTTTATAATATATTGTTGCACCCAGATTTGCTTGTGGATTACACCCAAGGTATGGAGTGTACGAATGATAGAGATTTCAAAATACAAGTTAATTTTTCGTATATGTGGCATACAGAAAACAATAATCAGATGTAATATGTTGTTTATGCCCTTGATCTTTTCGTTGTTGGCTTACCTTTGCCAGCCAGACAATTCATCTCTTAGTGCATTCTTGACAAATCTCTGTGTCTACTTCAAAATCTCCGAGTTCACGTCGAGTCTGATAGGTTGTGTTAATTTAGGTCGATGAGTGGATTCTTGTTTAGGATGCTAATTTGGTTGAGGCATGGCTCAACAGAGATATCTTTGGGTCTCTCTATTGGTTACTTCTTTCTCCAGCCTTGAGTCAGGTCTGAATCATTGTAATAATAATTTTTAAGAAATAAAGTTTCTTATTCAGATTTTCAACTTTTGCGCCACTATTTTCCATTATTGTCCTTTGAATTCATGCTCTTGCCCTTCTTGTGATGGTTTGTCTTGATTCTGACCCTATAAAATCGGCTGTGATGGCTATAAATATACTTTCTTGGTGTTTTACTTTATAATTGATGTTTCTTTCAATTGATTCATGGCTCCTTGTGTCCCCCACCGCTATTCCAAACCCTAATTTTCTCGGAAACACCCACAGAGAGCTTCCAGGGCTCCTTCAGCCACGGGAGACTCGGTATGATTATGTCATGGTCTCTGAATATCGAAATGGATGCTATACATGTCCTTTGTCCTAATTGAGCCCGTCCAATGGTGGATTCCACCGGGTGAGGTCAAATCATCGCAGGCTCTGATTTCGTGCTTTGAACATGCACTAGGAAGTCTATATAGGTTCCTTGGGTTACAGGATGCTATTAATGAGTAGTGTGTCATCTCGAGTCAGTCAAGTGGACACCTTACGCATATAACATTAAAAATTTACACCAACAATATGAACTGAATCAGAGATTTAAGAAGTTAAATATAAAAAAATTAACATTTTGGATCGTATATTCTGTAAGGAACGGACTAAAGATAAGTAGAGGTAATTTATATTTTTATTTGTACTTCTGTGTGAATAACATTAAGCAGAAAAAAATCTTATGGGTAACTAATAAAAATAATTGATTAAAAAATGAAGTGTTCTTAATTAAAGTATGCACTTTTAATTAATATAGATGGTTGTCCAAAGAAGTAAAGTGAGGGGGTGGATATTTATGATAATTACTTTTTTATATGTATTAAATTTAAAGTTTTAAATAAAGAGTTTATTTAATGCTTTAGACAATCAGTTTATGATTGTATGCATGTTGCAGCTTAAGAATGAATGAAAATGAATAAGAAAAGGAAAAATGAATGTTTAATGTCATGAAAAGAAAGTAATTTAATGGAAATGAAATGAAAGGAAATTTTTTAAGTCATACAATATTACCCCTAGATGATACTGGTAGAGGATGCAATATACTCGTGCACGTCAAAAAAAATGGTGTGCGCCTTCGAGTGTAATTTAAGAGTACATTCAAGTACATTTTTGAGGGCATCTTCAGGCACATTTTGATGATGCTTTCGGACACATTTTTAAGAATGCATTCCAATATGATAGTAAGCCTGTGATGACTATTAATGTAATTAAATTGCTAAATACTTAAAATGAAACGAGTGAGTCTTGTGCATGAAATCAACCAGATTCTAACTGTACATCCACATGCATAGAAATCAGTGTTATGTACATAAATTTTCGCAAATTTATAATATATATATATATATATATATATAATAAACAAAAGAAAAAGAAGTTTATTTAAGAGTTTATTTTTATAATATTTTACTTTGCTTACTTTATTTGTTTATGCGAAATATTAGATCTGAAGGTTTAGTACCTTACGATTCAGAATTAGAACGTACTATTAGAAAGATTTGAAAACAACAAAGAGAAATTAAGAATTTGAAAAAAATGACAAATAATATAGAAAATCCAATAAATGAGAATCGACAAAGACCTTTAAAAGATTATGCGAATCCGACAACAAATAAACTTCATTTAACTATTCAAAATTCTGATGTTGCTGCTAATTCATTTGAGGTTAAACCTGCTATTATCCAAATGGAATAAAATAATTAGTTCAGAGGATCACATACTGAAGATCCTAATTTACATCTTGCTAGTTTTCTTGAAATTTGTGCTACATTTATATATGACAGAGTGTCTAATGATGTTGTTAGGCTTAGACTTTTTCCTTTTTCATTAAGGGATAAAGCCAAGGCTTGGCTAAATTCATTAGAACCTAGATCTATTAGAACTTGGGGAGAACTATCACAAAAATTATTGGCTAAATATTTTTCACCCTCGAAAACTGCTAAGCTTAGAAATGATATTACATCTTTCTATCAATTTGAAGGGGAATAAATATATGAAGCCTAAGAAAAATTTAAGGATCTTCTTAGAAAATGTCTGCACCATGCTTTGCCAGATTGGTTAATAATTCAAACATTTTACAATGGATTAGTAGGATCATTAATGTCAAAACATTTTGATGAAACATATTCTTTAATTTAAGAAATGACAACTAATAATTTTTAATGGCCATTTGAAAAGGTAAATCTTAAGAGAGTAGCCAATATTCATGATTCTGATGCAATGTCTATTTAAAAAAAACAAATTGCTGCTATTTCTAAAAAGATTGATCAAATAGGAGTGAACTATTCTAAAAAAACCTCAGTATTAGAGAAAAATTTACTAGGACAAATTATTGATACTCAACCATCTTATGAAACCTTAAACGCTATAACTAATTGAAATAACAATCCATATTCTAACTATTTTAACCTTGGATGGAAAAATCACCCTAATTTTAGTTAGAATAATTATAATAATTTGGTGAATCCATCTGAAAATCTGAACAATCAACGAAATCATATTTTTTGACCTTATTATCCTTCAGGATTTAACTCCAATCCTAACCCACAAGTTAAGGAAAAGAA